CAAAAGTCCGCATGGTCAAAGCAATGCTATTCCCAGTAGTAATGTATGGCTGCGAGAGTTGGACCATAAGGAAGGCCGAGCGCCGAAGAATAGATTCTTTTGAACTATGGTGCTGGAGAAGACCCTTGAGAGTCCCTTGGACTGCAAGAAGATCAAATCAGTCAATCCTAAAAGAAATCAACCCTGACTGTTCCTTGGAAGGCCAGATAATGAAACTGAAGCTCAAATACTTTGGCCTCCAAATGAGAAGGGAGCACTCACTGGAGAAGACCCTGATGCTGGGAAAGATTGAAGGTCAAAGAAGACGGGGACAGCAAAGGATGAGATGGTTAGACAGTGTCATAGATGCAACGAACATGAAATTGAGCCAACTTCAGAGGACGGCGGAAGACAGGAAGGCCTGGTGTGATCTGGTCCATGGGGTTGCAAAGAGTCAGACTCGACTGTGCGACTGAACAACAACAACAAAATTTATTACAAATTGGATAAAAACAAATATAGGCCCAAATAGTGGCCTCAAATCAGATGCAATCCAGACTGTATATAAAAGTTTGGCGGCGGGGGGGGGGGGGTCAGGTTTGGGGGACAGACACACCAGGAGAGGAAAGTTCACAATGAATTATTTTATTTATTTATTTATTTGGTTCAATTTGTATCCCGCCCTCCCTGCAAGTGGGCTCAGCGCGGGTTCCATCATAAAATTCACAACGTGACAAATCAACACTTAAAATATTTCTAAAAATCTATCTAAAAACGATATCAGTGTAAAAACCGAATGCTTCAACAGATCTTAGCAAGAAGCAACTGGGTGTACCTGACCAGAGAAGCAGGTTATTTAAAATGAGGCCTCTGAATTATATCTCTGCCATAGGTCACAGATATTAATTATAAAACAATTTCAACTTGGTCCAAGTTTAAGAAATAACTGTATTATTATTGTAGTGCCTGAAGCCATTGTGTAACAACATTGTTTGGCCACTGAAGGCCAATTGGCCAAAACATGTTTGGTCAGGGTCACAAATGGTCTATGTTTGAGATAATTGTATGATTTTATTCTGATTTGAGGCTACAATTTGGGCCTACGTTTGTTTTTACCTAATTTGTACATATATTTTTTGTACATTTGGTAATATTAATGTTTTAAGTTTAGATATGGAACTATTGCCTGCTCACATTCTGTCTTCTTTAACCTTTTGGTTCTTCATTCAGTTCTATTTGGGTAAAGTCCCCACACACCCCTTTCTTATGCCTTTTGTAAAGAGACCACAGCCAATAAACAAACAGGGATCTCCAGCCTTGTTCTGTCTGTGGGCACGTTTGACATGACAAAATGGGTGCCACAACAAAAGGCATGACAGGAGGTGAGACCAGTCACAAAATATGCCTCGGGGTTTCAAACCAAGTGCCTTCCTGTAATGGGGGCAGCTGTTTTAAAAGGGATGCTCCCTGAAGAAGCAAAGGGGATGTCTTCTGGGGTCTTCTGAAGTACCCAGTGTTCCCTCTAAGCTGAGTTAGTGTGAGATAGGTCACAGTTTTTTAGCCTCTGGCTCACGCATTTTTGTCTTAGCTCGGGAAGGATGGCTCAAGAGCACACTAATTTATGCTATAGCCAAATTGCTCACTCACTATTTCAATGCCGGTAGCTCACAAAGTAGAATTTTTGTTCACAAGACTCCACAGCTTAGAGGGAGCATTGGAAGTACCCCCTGCTCCAGGGGCTCTTTGAGTTGGAGAAACCGCTAGGATTGCCAGCCTTCAAGTGGGGCCTGGAGACCTCCTGCTATGACAATTGATCTCCAAACAACAGTCAGTTCACCTGGAAAAAATGGCTACTTTGGAGGGTGGACTCTATGGTATTGTATCCCACTGAGCTCCCCTCCCCTCTCCAAACCTCACCTTCCCCAGGCTCCACCCCCAAAATCTCCAGGTATTTCCCAACCCAGAGCTGGCAACTGTAGAAACAGTGTGTGCCAGGAAATGCATTGGCAGGCACCAGGGCTTTTTTTGTAGAAAAAGCCCAGCAGGAACTCATGAGCATAATAGACCACACCCAACAGCAGAAACTCATTATCATATTAGGCCACACCCATGATAATACAGCTCATTATCATATTAGGCCACACACCCCATGTTACCAGAAGTGTGGTCATCCAGCCACACCCACCTTTTGCTTCTTATTCTGTTTACCTTGTTTGTTGTCAAAACCCAGGGCCTTTTTTGTAGCAGGAACTCCTTTGCATGTTAGGCCACACACCTCTAATGTAGGCAATCCTAATGAGTTCCTGCTGTTGGGTGTGGCCTATTATGCTAATGAGTTCCTGCTGGGTGTGGCCAACTCGGGAGCCAGCCGGAACTCCGTTCCTGTGTGTTCCTGCCCAAAAATAGCCCTGGCAGGCACCATGGTGTCCATAGGTGCCACATTGGGGATGACTGGATTAGAGTGTTAGGCTAAGACTAAGGAAATCTAGATTCCAGTCCCTCCTCATCCATGAGGCTCACAGGGTTGCCTGTCTCTTTCAGCCTAACCCATCTCAAAGTATTACTGTGAGAACAAAATGGAGGAAAGGAGAACTATGTATGCTGTATTAATCTCCTTCAGGAAGGATGTGATTAAAATGTCTAAGAGAGATTTCTGAAATCTAGACTGGTCACATTTGCCAAGCCCTCTCCTCCACTGGTGTTGAGGGATCACCTGGCCCCAGCTCCTGTTTCTTGCCACCTCATGAAGCATCAGGAGGGGAAAAAATTCCAAAAAATGGCTGTCAGGCCCATAGCATTATGCCACTTTGGGGAGAAACCCAGACAGGACATCAGTCCTCTCTAGGAATCACAGGAAACTCCGTGGTTTAACCATAAAATTTCCAGCAATTTGTAGAGAGGCATGCTGTCACTTCCGGGTTTCCCCTCGAAGTGACATTACACTGTCACCTATGGTGAGCTCCCCATGTCCTCACCCACCAGTTTCCTAGCCATAATAGTTAGTGTCCAGTGCCAGGGTCTGGACTACGTCAGCCTCAGGACCCGGGGGGAACCCCACCCCGGCGTGCGCGTCACCAGGAAGTGACGTTATGACACCGGGCATGCTGGGGGCGGGGCCACGACTATCCGAGGGGGGAACTCTATGCTCCCGAAGATTTTCAACTTGGCAACCCTAGTTACAAATGGGTCTGCTAAAGTTGCCTTTTGCCTTGTTTTCCTATAGGAGACAAAGAGCACCCCCGGGAGCGGATATGCTTTAGGGGAAAGAGGGCAGGATGGTCATAGATGGGCAGTCCAAACTGCCTTCCCCCCCCCGACCCAAATGACTACTATTTGCAGAAAGTCAAAGAGGGAGGAGATTTAGTCATAGATGTCCAGTGTTTTTTTTGTTTCACCATCTGACTGGTCAAGCCAGTCAGTTGGAGAAACAGGTTTAATTGCCCCGAGGAAGAACCTCTAACACTGAAATGCGCTGGGCTGTAATATGCTAATGAGTTCATGTGCACTTTTGAAGTGTCATCTGCCTTTCCAGCCACGCTAAGCAGCCAAGCTGAATGTGGCAGAAGCCTTAAAATGCAACCAGCCTGACAGAAAGCGTTCTCCAGCATCCCCGCTGACGCCCTTCTTACAACCTCACACTCCCGATTCAGCAAGCCACTGCTGTATGGGCAGCTCCCGTCATGAAGGAGGGGAAAGGACCACCAGTAGTTCAAGGGGCCGTTCCTCCTCCTATAGCTGATGATGGGAAAGGCCTAGTTGTCCATGCAGGGTAGTACTGTGGAACTGTAGGTTGCCATCTCCAGGTGGGGAAATACCTGGAGATTTTCGGGTAGAGCCTGAGAAGGGTGGGGTTTGGGGGGGGGGAAAGGGACTTCAATGAGGTATTAATGCCATAGAGTCCACCCTCCAAAGTGGCCTTTTCCTCCAGGTGAACAGAACTCCGTCACCTGGAGATCAGTTGTGATCCCAGGAGATCTTCAGCTACCGCCTGGAACTTGGCGACCCCGAGTATGATGCTTGAACGGTGAACTGAACTCAGAAATGCGCATATAAGCCAGTTTGTGAGGGTCCGTGGCTCAGTGGCAAAGCATGTGCTTTGCCTGCAGATGGTCCCTGCTTCACTCCTGTACTAGCTCAAATAAATAAAAGGCTGGGAGTTCCACAAACAGAGCTCCCAGTCTGCTTCATTGTAAAAAAACAGGTTTGTGGGGGCATGATTCTGATGGACTTGACGGAAGGTTGGAATTTAAACTTTCCCCTCTCCCCATTTTTTTTCACTCTGAGATGGCCCTCGGGAGCCACCTTTTGTCCTGCTGAAGGAAACATACGGGCACTGTGTGCCCTAACAGGGCCAGTAATGGTTCCCCAAGGTTGTTTCAGGTCAGGAAAATAGTGAAGATGGAAATCTGAACACCATGCTTTCCTCAAACCACTGTCTCATTTGGAGTCAGCACTAGCGTTGCTGGCAACTGGCAGAAGAGGGAAGGGACAGAGAATGGGAGAGAATGATGCTGCTCTATGGTTTTAACATAGAGTTTTGGGTGGATCTTAGAGCATCACACCAATGTGATAGCACTTCCTGGTTTCTGCCAGAAGTGGTGATGTCACTTCCTGGTTTATGCCAGAAGTGCCATCAAATGACAACTCTTCTTCCCCACCCAGGGCTATTTTTGGGCAGGAACGCACAGGAACAGAGTTCCGGCTGGCTCCCAAGTTGACCACGCCCAGCAGGAACTCATTAGCATAATAGGCCACACCCAACAGCAGAAACTCATTAGGATTGGCTACATTAGGGGTGTGTGGCCTAACATGCAAAGGAGTTCCTGCTACAAAAAAGCCCTGGGTTTTGACAACAAACAAGGTAGACAGAATAAGAAGCAAAAGGTGGGTGTGGCTGGATAACCACACTTCCGGTAACATGGGGGTGCGGCCTAATGTGGTAATGAGCTATGCTGTCAGGGGTGTGAACTAATATGCTAATGTGTTCCTGCTGTTGGGTGTGGCCTATTATGCTAATGAGTTCCTGCTGGGCTTTTTCTACAAAAAGAGCCCTGCCCCCACCCATTTTCCCCCTGCCACCCTGCTGAGTCGCAGATGGGATAGTGGGCAGAAGGTGGGAGGTCGCTTGCCACAGAGGGAGACCTGGCACGCCTAATCACCATGCCAGTTTTTAGGGAATAAAATCTCCAGAGCTGCAGTCCCAGAAAGGCTCCACCAGTCAGAGCAGACAACACCGAGATCGACTGACTTGGATTCAAGACATTTTCATTAGCAGTCCTGTTAAGAGACACGATGAAGGAAATGGAAATCGCTCTTCTGGACAACCACACCGTGAAGCCTGGTTCCAGTGTTTAGATTTTAATTCAACCGTCTTGTAATCTGAACTCATTGTCTTGTGCTCCCTTTATCAGAACATTCTGCATGGTGGCCAGAGATTAAACAAACAATACATGGTCGCTTGGGGAAATGTGACAATCCTCTGCAAAATAGGATGCAAGTTTTGAAAAAAAAAACCCTTCATAAATAAAAAAAGAATGGTCCACTTGTATTCCGATGGCTTTGAGTTTTTATTCCAGCCTTAGTGCAAAGATTTTCACAATGTTTAAAAAAAATGTACCCGTATTGAACATCCTTAAACTGCAGAGTCTTGGGGGAAATGGTTCTTCCAGAAGGTTGACTCTCCCTTATTTTCTCTGCTCATCAGCTGTAAGGGAGCTCCCAGGGTTTGGCTAAAAGTACCAACTCGGTTCCACTGGTACCTCGCTCTGGTTCAGGGCTCTCTCCCGAAGTACCAGTTCCAAGCACTCCACTGTCGGTGGGTATGTTTCAAGCTCAAATTTGTTAGCAAACAGGCTTTTGGAGTTCAGCAGCCACCTCAGGTCACCAGTCCCATAGATACAGATGTTTCTGACGTAATGACCTGCAAAGGCATAAAATGTCTCATAAAAACAGTGTAAGGGACAGACAAGGAGGACTAAGGGCAATCTTGCACTGAGATCTTTGCAACCAATCTTACCCACATGTTAGACAAATGGACATCCCACTGATTTCAGTGAGACTGGCTCCTAAGAAAGTGTAGCGAGGATTGTGCCTCATTAATTAATTAATTAATTAATTAATTCTGCTTATTCCTTCTATTCATCCCAAGGAGGACCCAAAGTGGCTTACGTCATTCTCCTCCCCTCTGTTTTATCCTCACAACAACCCTCTGAGGTAGGTTAGGCTGAGACTGGCCCGAGGTCACCCAGCAAACTCCCATGGCACCAGTGGAGATTCAAACCTGGATTTCCCAGATTCTAGTCCGACACTTTAACCGCTACACCACGGTGACTCTCTGGCCTCTTTCCAAGCTTTCTTTCATTTTAAAAAAAAGTTTAGTGAGCATACAGGTTCATTACTGTAAGCAGGGAATATTTAGTATTCAGTCTTGTTGCTTTCATCATATATTCTTCAGCTATCACTCCTGTAATGTTCACACATACAATCACACAAATACTTAAAGTATATTTTCAGGCAGGAATGGTGGGGCAAGAAGCAGGCCCGTCGCTATGGCGAGGTATTTCGGGGCTCTGCCCCCTCAAATGAGAGGCATGCCCCACAACAGTGCTGGTTCTTACCTATAAAGCCCTATATGGTCTGGGTCCAGCCTACCTGAGGGACCGCCTTTCCCCGTATGTTCCCCCAAGAGCACTACGGTCTGGGGCCCGAAACTTATTGACTGTGCCGGGCCCCAAAGATGCTAAATTGGCCGTCACAAGGGCTAGGGCTTTTTCGGTGGCGGCCCCCACCTGGTGGAACGAGCTCCCAGAGGAGATCAGGGCCCTGCGGGATCTGGTACAGTTCCGCAGGGCCTGCAAGACAGAGCTCTTCCACCAGGCTTTTGATTAGGGGCCGCCGCCACCCCCCCTGCTATTACCATCATTGGGGGGGGAAGGGCCCTAGGATGGAATGAAGAAACACCGGAATTGACACCCAATATTAAGGACACGGAATGCCTACCAGGGTGTTGGAAGTGGATGCGGTCGACATCTCCCGAGGCTCTGAGATTGTTGAGCACTTTAATGTATTGTATTTATTGTTTTTAAACTGTATAACTTGTTTTAAATGTAATTTAAATTGATGTTTTACTATGGTAAGATCTTTTACTATGTAAGCCGCCCTGAGCCCTACGGGGGAGGGCGGGATATAAATCTAATAAATGAAATGAAATGAAATGAAACAGCTGCTGCCCCTCCCTCCCCTCCTGTGACATTAAAAGGGCCCTCCAGCTGATCGGCGGGAACACGTGGCCCGCCGATCAGCTGGAGGGCCCTTTAAATCTTGTAGCTGCCCCTCTCCCTTCCCTCCTCCAAGATTCAAAGGGCCCTCCAGCTGATCAGTGGACTCTTTAAATCTTGCAGGAGGGGAGGGAGAGGGGCAGCTGCCAGCAGCACACCCTCCTTGATCTCCAAGCTGCGATTTCGCCACTTGGAGATCAAGCACAGGCAGCCCCTGCTAGAAAAACAGCATTTAAAGGGAACCCGCTTGGAGCTCAGGGAAGATATGTGGCTGCCCCTCTCCTGCTGCCCTACAAAATTTCCCCATGTCCCACCAACCCAAAATTTCTGGCTATGGGGCTGGCAAGAAGAGATACATGAACACATGAAGCTCCCTTATCCTGAATCAGACCCTTGGTCTTTCACGGTCAGTATTGGCAGCGGCTCTCCAGGGTCTCAGGCAGGGGTCTTTCTCATCACCGAACTGCCTGTTCCTTTTTTACCTGCAGATGCCGGGGACTGAACTTGGGACCTGTGGCATACAAAGCAGATGCTCTACCACTGAGCCACAGCCCCTCCCCCTGTTTCTTTTTTATCACCAGACTGCACAGGTGATGTTAACATCTGGCAGATCCTCCTCAGGAGGGCAGAATGCCAGGTAAAGGCACAGAACCAAGTGCCCCTGGACCTGGATAATTTAAGTTCAGAAATGCATCTGATTTAATGGAATCTTTTTTTAAAATAAATTCCATAAAATAGAAGAAAAAACTAAAACTTCAGCACAAAGCAAGGTGATGGGACGCAGGACATTCTGTGGGAATGACAGAAACAAACAAAAGCGTATTAGAAACAATGAAAGCATGTCCTTTACCGTGACACCCTCCGTGAAGGTCTGTCATATCACTCCACTTAATAGCTCGCAAGTCACCTTCCCATGAAGCATTTGGCATGGAACCAGGGACACCTATTGTGTGAAAGAGAGAACAGAAGAGAAACATCATCCTTTCTCAGAAAGTCCCAAGTTTGTCTTGAACATGCCGGATAGTCTACTGAAGACTGTATCTATCCTCCTGTGAATTATCTCACTGTTGATTTTCTTTGCAAAGATACTCGGACACATGAAGCTGGCTGATACCGAATCAGACTGTTGGGGGACACAGGAGGATTTGATCCACAAGAGGGATGGATCGGGGGGGGCGCACCCGTCCCTGATCCATCTCTTCCGGCTGAAGATGCGGAGTTAAAATAAACCTGCAAAACACTACTACCTACCAGAAAATCCGTGGCACGGGCAACCGTGTGATCGCCGACGCGCCCGTCTCCCGCAGCATGCGAGGCCCCCTGCCGAATTGCGCAGGTGCACACATGCGCAGCTGACTCGCCTCGCTCTCCTGTCCGTGGCTTCCCCCTTGCATCTGATCATGCTGGGGAGCATATGCTCGGGGGGGGGGATCTGCCTGATCCCGCTGCCATGCTTCTCTTTTGCTGCGGCTCTAAAAAGCCGCACTTCTGCCCTGGCTTTTCCTGCGGTGTGACCGGGGCCGGGGTCCATCTAGGTCATTATTGTCTGCTCTAACTGGCAACAGCTCTGCAGGGTCTTGGGTGCAGGTCCTTCCCATCACCGACTGCCTGTTCTGGAGATGCAGGGATGAAACCCAAAACTTTCTGTGTGCAAAGCACATGAGCCCCCACCCCTACCCATGACCACCGATGTCACTGGCAACCCTTGGATTTCACTTGGATCAGCAGAAGGCTGAATTAAAATGTTAATTCCCAATAATTAATCAGTGATGACAACAGTTTTGCACCCCAGAGTCAGGCCATGTTTTTCTGAAGAACTTTCCCCTCATCACAGCTCAAAGATCACGCAAGACTCATGCTCTGGCGCTGACAACAGGAGATGCTCAGAACTGGGTGGCCACTTTGTTTTTTTTGACTGGCTCTGCTCCTGGGTGTTTAACTCCAGCCTCACGCAATGACCCTGACCTAGACAGCCCCAGCTAGCCCAGTCCCCTCAGACCTCAAAAGTGAAGCAGAGTCGGCCCTGGTTAGTATTTCGATGGGAGACCACCAAGGAAATCCAAGGTCCTACGCAGAGGCTAGCATTTATCTTGTTCTTAAGAGGGCAAGACTCCGAAAGAGACAATTAAGTTCTCTTCAAAAGAATCGTGCTTGAAGGCTACTTCGCTCGTTCTGTTGGTTAAGCAGAGGCAGGCGATGACAAACCACCTCTGAATGTCTCTTCTCTTGAAAACCCTACGGGATCGACATAAGTCAATGGCGACTTGTCGGCTTTACACACACAACACAATGAAATTGTGCACAATATTATTTTATAGATGGATGCTTTGATGAAATTCATTTCATTACATTATTTTTTTTCCCTTCAGGGAGCTCAAGGAGAAATATACAAGGTTCTCAGGTGGATTTCCACTCAGACACTAGGGTTGCCAACAGGCCTGGAGATAAATTCACCCCCCCTCCCTATTTTGCTTATTTCTTCTTCAGTGCCTGTTTACAGTCCTGTCACTGACTGTTCTCGGCTGTTGCTCAGTCTATCTTTTCCCCTTCAGCTGCATGGAGCCAGGGTGAATTGGCTTTGTAATGTAACAGCACAGCTGGATTTGACTGGCTACATGACCCCAACCCATCCCCTCACTGTTCCAAAAGCTGCTAATAGCCATGGGGGCGGGGGGGGGGTCAGCAATGCTGCAGTAACTGATTGGCTTCAGCACAATTTGCCACAGCAAAGCCAAAATATTTCCTTCCTTTGGCGGAAGCAGATGGGCTACGTTTCCCTGTAGATAAGTGTCAACGGACAATAACAAGCGTGCAGGCCAACTTTTGCAGGTTGCACGCAGGATTCTATACTCAGTTTTCACTGCATAGGAGACAAAAGTGTCAGTAAAGCCTAAAGGCGTTAGATGACTATAGTGGTAATGAACTCCCACAACTGCAGGCTGCATTGGTGAGTTGGGCTATCATCGGCAATATTGTCTGCCTACGCTGAGATTTCAAAAGGTTTTCTGTACAATAAATCGTGGCCTAATAATCTGAACGTGTTACATATGCAATCTTTAATATTTTGTGAGATTGTGATGAAGCTTTTGGAGACTCGCAGTGAGAGAAAAAGAATAGAAACTTAAGAAATCAATAGATGGTCCCTGCCACACGGCAGGAAAAAAATTAGCCAAAGTGCAGCAAATCAGAGCCACACCAAAGTAGAGATGCCGCGGTGCCATTGCTCCCCGGCACGATCAGATGCCGGGGAGGAAGCTACCATCGGGAGGGGGAGCCTGCCGAACTGCGCATGTGTGAGCATGCGCAGTTCAGCCAGGCGCCGGGATGTGCTGGCGGAAGGACACGCCGGCGATCCCACGGCCGGCTTTGATGCGGCCTTCCTGGACGAACCACCATGGTAGGTGGTTCATTTTTGCTGCGGGGTTTTGGGCGGAAGGGCCGGATCGGGAACGGGCGCGCAACGCTTCCCAGATGTTGCAGTGGGATCACGCCCGTTTGCTGCGGCCCCGATCCGTCCCTCTCCCGGCCCAAAACCTCTCGTGTGACCGGGGCTGATGTATGCTTCCTGGGTCACTTATCTTCAGGAAAACTGATAAACAGTATAATCAAAGAATTTCCAAGTCAGTCATTTTACAGTGCTAACCAGAACAGGGACAAAATGAAGGGGGGAGGAGGAGAAAGAAACATTTCATTGGAAACTCCCAGGAAGATGAGTTTCCTATTACTCTTTGAGCCCTGGCCTAGATAGCCCAGGCCAACCTGATCTCGTCAGATCTTGGAAGCTAAGCAAAATTGGCCTTGGTCAGCATTTGGATGGGAGACCACCAAGGAATACCAGGGTCACAACACAGAGGCAGGCAATGGCAAACCACCTCTGAGCATCTCTTGCCTTGAAAACCCCATGAGGTCGCCATAAGTTGGCTGCGACTTGACAGCACTTTACATACCCATTACTGCAGGAGCTGAGGAGTTATGTAACTGTCGATCACTCTGAGCCCAGCTAAGGAAATCAGAGAAGTCCACAAGGTAGGCTTACTGTGCCATCCTAGGCAGAGTTATGCCCTTCTAAGCCCAATGATGTCAATGGATTTAGAAGAGTGTAGCTCTGCATAGGGGTGATTGCTGATTTGTACAGGAATACTCCTCTGTACAAAGGATGAGATGGTTAGGCAGTGGAGAGCGATGAACGGCGGCGGCGGCGACGAAAAAATGGCGGCTGGTCGAGGCGAGGAGGCGAACGAAAGGAGGCCGGACTAACAAGGTGCGGAGGCAGAGCAACGTGGCAGGCCGGAGCCTGACTTGGATGGAGGGCCGTTGCGAGCATGCGCGGAAGCACGGAGTGGTCCAGGCCTGGAGGCGGAGTC